TTATTTTCTCTTTCTTAGAGTCTTTCATTACAAATAGCTCCTGTTGCTTGACGAAATGCTTAGGCAATTTCTTGAAGAATCAATTGAGTTTGGTTGGAAAGTTGTTGCATAGTGCCTTCTGACCTTTGATCATCAAAGAATTGATCTTTCTGGGCTTCTAAGGAAACTATTTGATTATTGAAGTGCTTTGAGATATGAATTAACATAAACAAATAAATATATGACAAAATTCAACAGGCTGATAGTAGAAGTCATCATAAGTTTTAAGAGCAAACTTTCGAGAAGGCTGGTGCTAAATTGTGCACTGAGTATGTTGCTCTTCCGAACAGCTTTTAGCAATGTATATATTTCTGGAACCTGTAAATTCTCTAAAAATTTCTCGTGATTTTCACATGACAACATGGACTGCAAAAGGTCTCACCTTTTTGCAAGGCGTAATAATACTTTAATCAACTCTTATACATTTTAATAATCTTGAAATATGATTTCACTTAATTTTAATATTTGTGTCTAGAATCGACCAAAATGCTTTGTAATTTAAGATCATTTTTTATGAAAATTAATGTTGATGCGTAAATAATTACATTTTTAGCAATTCATATACAACATGGTAAAGCTCGACAGTTCAAAAAGTTAGGAATATGACGTAAAATGGTAAGCTGCATGATGGAAAGTCTTAAAATCAGGTGTAACTTGCTGATCCATTATAGAATTTTCGGGAAAATAGTAAATTCAATCTGTGCACCATACTGGATTGTTAACTCCGTTAGATTATAAGAATGTAAAACAGCAGTACATTGACATTTTTAAATAAAACATTTAAAACCAACCTGGAGTATGACATCCATATTAAAAGTATAAAATATAAAGCTACTTTTTGTTTTTATGACATTTCGAAGAAAAATTACAAAAATAAAGATAATATATACAAAAGATAATACAAAAAGAATTTTTAAAAGTAGGGTTTTATAAACTCGAGTATTGCTAGTATATCCATATTTAGGTGTTAGAACCCAGGGCTTTCTTCATTTCTCTGTTCTTGTTCTTCAGTTCAAATAATGGAGGAAGTTATATTTGTTCATCCAGAAACATCTTATAAAATTTTTGACCTTAAACAAGAGCTTATGCCTAAATTGGAGCATTTAATATTATCTAGCAAATCACAACTTACAGTTGAGCTTAGCCTCCTTGAAAAAATGCTCGAGTATTTGAAGCTTTCAGAATCCCAACAAACAAGCTCCGAACGGTTATTTATGAGAATAAGTAATCGCAAAACAGTTAAGCCCAATAAAAAACGCTCAAATTCTTTGGCTAAGCCGAAGCCAGGACGACAAAATAGTCAAAACCAAAAGCAAATTGATCACCATTCAACAGCGCATGGTGCTTTAGGTCCTTGCACAGTAGATCAATCTATTAATGTTGGTGCCTCACAAAATCAAGATCGAGGTTTGCTAATTTATTAATTATAAACTCTCACCTGATTTTTAGCTAATCTTTGGCATTTATCTATGTACCTATACATATAGTTGATAATAGGTTTAAAAATGCATTAGCCACATACGGTACGTACATATTTAATTATTATGTGACATATCGAATATTTAATTATTTCTTATGTTCGATCATAATATTTTATACCGTTTTATATTCCATGCAGATAACAACGATAACAACTTCGTTAATATATGCACTGCGCCATTTCAAATAAATAACGAGGAAATCATTTCGTCATCTGATTCTTACGTTTTGTCACCTGATTTCAACGTTTCGTCACCTGATTTTAACGTTTCGTCACCTGATTCTAACGGTTTGGCACCTGATTCTAACGTTTTGTCACCTGATTTTAACGCTGATTCTAACGTTATGTCACCTATGCCTTACGATATGTCACCTATGTCTTACGATATGTCACCTATGTCTTACGTTATTGATTTTGCTGGTAAGCAATAACGACTAAATACACATCGGTTTGCTTAACGTTAACATGCGTGTTATTAATGACATTTTTATGCTTATGTAATATAGGGAACAACAACTTTGACACTCAAATATATAATGACTACTATTACTATTATTTTCATCCTAATATGTCATTCATGTTCGATGACCAATTTCAATGGTACAATGGTAAGCAATAACGAAATTTTGCATCTGTTTCTTAATGTGAATGTTATTAATAACTTTTTTTTTCAACATTTTGTATAGAATAATACTCTCTAAATGTATTAAACATTGTTTTGATTATTAACGCAACTAATGTATATATGTCTGTTCACAAAAAAAAAAAAAACTATTAACGGATGTGTGCAATTAGACGTATTAACGTTAAAAAAGTTTTAAAACGAAAATTAAAAAAAAAATAATGTAAAAATAAAAAATATAATTGTTACCGTATATATAGATTATATTCGGTATAAAATCTAGTATAGGAATACTTTAATAACAGAAATTATAAAGTGCACTACTTTTTTACGCAAATGCCTATTTGACTGTCTGATCGACATTTGCAGTTTATTTCATCAAATATTTTGCACGGTTTATTTATATTTATGATGAGTACGAATAATGTTTACGGTAATTTCCATTTTATAATAAAGTTGTAGCGTTTATTCTATTTAGCTGAATAACTTTTAAATCATATCACATAATCGCGTAATGCTAATAGGAACTTTTTGCGCGCAGCGAAATCCACTAATAGATCCAATCTATTAAATCACCAAAACCCTCTTTCCCTGCAGCTATAATAGTTGCAATAATATTTAATCGATTATGTAATGTGCCTATGGCTATAGAAAGCGAAAATTGGAGATATACCTTTTAAGAAGTTTATGCATATTAATATGTACAGTTTTAATATCATCTTTGTTAGTATCTTAAATTTCGGAATGGAAATTTCTTATTTGAGATTGTGTAAAGCTTGTTGCATTGGCGGTTGATTTAAAGACTTCAAAAAACGGAAAAAATACTTTTAAAGAATTAACGATTTCTTTGAAAAGGTGGAAATCTATTTTAATAAAATTCAAAAAAGTTAATTCCTTTTATAGAAATTTTCCAGCAATGAACTAACACTGCTTAAAAACGATTGATTTTACTTGGTACAAATATTCACTTAATTACAGTAAATATATTTAAATATATTTACTGTAATTAAGTGAATATTTATATCGTGTATTTCCCAGTAAATATTGATCTTTTTAACCAGTGTAAGTAATTTCCTAATGTATATGGATCGGTACAATAAACAAATAAGAATTTATAAAGTATCGGTTGTGATCTTATAAATAAAGCCGCAATACATTAATCTAGGTAATTCTTATTCTGTCTATGTAAAAATATTACCGATTATCGGTTATTATGGAAGTTTCTATATAAGGAATAATTGAAACGTGTTGTCTTAATTTGTGAAGTTTCTTATAAAAGAGTAAACAAAAATCAGGCACTGTGCTACAAATTTTATATAAGGGAATAGACTTTTTAACGTTTTGTGCAATAGCATAACTGATGAATTATTTTAATATACTATATCACATTCGGCAAAGTCTCTTTAATAGGCTGCAATTCAAAAATGTTTGTCTTATAACGTGTTGAATGATTTATTGGTATAAAATAATCATATTAAAAAATAATTCTATTAAATTTAATATTTTTGCTCAGGCCAAGCATTTGGCTTATATTGATTCAATCTTTGCTGAATATCAGACTAAGATGTTCTCGGGCGCCCTAATCAATTGTCAGTGTAATTTTTTGTTATCTGGAATGATCTGACGAATACATAGTTATCAGCAGGATGATAGTGTCACGGGGAGTTTTGACACGAGATAGCAATTATTACCAAATTTAGTTTAATTGTAGATAGTGTAAAAATAGTCAAAACGGTAATAATTGTTAATCACGTAACATCTGTAAAAACCGTCAAAAATGTAAAGATGGGAAATACGGTAAAATTGGTTTATCGTGTAAAAAAATGAGAAATGAGTAAATAGTGGCAAATATGTAAAAAGCCAAAAGTTATAAAAGACCTTTGGTTTTGCTCTTGTAAACAACAACCCTCGGGTTTCGAACATAAAATAAATATCAAAATAAATAAAATTGATCTTTTCATAATTAAATAATTAAAATTCCGTTCTTTATTAAGTTATATTTACAAAGTTCCAATCGTTAAATAAATTAGTTGCATAAATTATCGCTTTCCCTTATTCAATAAAATCTCCGATCCAATAAACCTGTGATTCACGTGACCCACGCCGGTAGAACCCTTGTATCCTCAAACCCGGTCCTCGTTAATTAAATAACCCCTTGCATAATCAAAGAAATAAGTTGGTGACTTGTATAAGGAACGATTTAGAGAAAGCTATAAGATAAGAAGGAACTTATCTTACTCAACCAAATCGTACGCCTCAGCCGAGAGAGCCTTATCTGCTTAAATATTTCTTTACGTTACGCAAGAAACTTGATTCCGGACCGACAGAGTCAGATCATTTTGTTGTTGTTTGTTGGTTGATATTTCCGCCGGTAACAATAGTAATAAATTATGCTTAATAATCTTGATATTGAAAAATTTTGAATATATATTTTTACTATATAAAAAATAAATTTTGAATAAATTAAATTATAAAATATATTTTTATTTACTGTATAAAAAATAAATTAAACCTGAAAAATTAAAAATTAATAAAACTTTAATCTGAAAATCAATTCTTCAATTTGAATATTCCTTCGAACTGAATAATCTTTCAACATGAATACCTTCGACCTGAATAATCTTTTAACATAAATAGTTTTTCAATCTGAATAATCCCTTCGACCTGAATAGTATTTTGATCTGAATAATCCTTTGATCTGAATGAATAATCTTTCATCTTTTAACCTAAATAATTAATTAATCTTTTAACCTAAACAATCTAAATAATCCTTTGACTAGAACAATTTTGTATAATCTTAAATATCTTAACATCATAAGCATCTGGGAGGCTATTATCAAAGTTTACTCTACTGAGCAATCTTTTAAATTTGTAGCATATGTGTTTACTTTTTCTTCCTCTTTCTGTCTTAGATTATTTAGTTTATTTTGCTAATAGTGTTGTCGGATCTTCTATAATATAGGTAGGCAACTATCTGGAAGCCTTGATCTATAGTTTAGGTGGGCAAAGTTCGACAAATATCATATTTTGGGCCAAATTACGTATTTAAAAGATAAAAATTAAAATATGTAAACTCGAATTTAACCAGATTTAGATCTTCCAAATGCATAAAATTTGGCCTCAGGACGGATCAAATATAGTAAAGATGGGAAAGTTATCACATTATTATAAAACGAGTATTAAATCTCAAAGTGCACACTTGAATTATTCACACTTGACATTTCATTGCTTTGGACATCAGTAACTTCCAGTTCTCATAAATATTATTCTAGAAAATACTATACTAAAATACAATAAAAGAGTTTTGTTTCGAATATTTTAGCTTTCACACTTCCAATTTGTATTAATTAAGATATGGTATAAACTTCCAGCAAGTTCATTTCTATAAAATGTTGGTTTTTTTTCGAATATTTTGGCTTTCACACTTTTAATTCATATTAATTAGGGCGTGGTATAACTTTCAGCAAGTCATTTCTATAAAATGTTAGTTTTTTTTTCGAATAATTGATATTTACACTTCCAATTCGTATTAATTAAGGCGTAGTATAAACTTCTGGCAAGTTCATTTCTATAAAATATTGGTTTTTTTTTCGAATATTTGGCTTTCACACTTCCAATTCGTATTAATTAGGGTGTGGTATAACTTTCAGCAAGTCATTTCTATAAAATATTGGTTTTTTTTCAAATTGATATTTAGACTTTTCAATTCGTATTAATTAGGGCATAGCACAAATTTCTGGCAAGTCATTTCTATAAATGTTGGTTATTTTTTTCGAATATTTTGGCTTTCACACTTCCAATTCATATTAATTAAGATGTGGTATAAACTTCTGGCAAGTTTATTTCTATAAAACATTGGTTTTTTTTTCAAATATTTGGCTTTCACACTTCCAATTCGTATTAATTAGGGCGTGGCACAAATTTCCAGCAAGTTATTTCTATAAAATGTTGGTTATTTTTTCAAATAATTGATATTTACATTTCCAATTCGTATTAATTAAGGCGTGATATAAACTTCTAGCAAGTTCATTTCTATAAAACATTGGTTTTTTTTCAAATATTTGGCTTTCACACTTCCAATTCGTATTAATTAGGGCATGGCACAAATTTCCAGCAAGTCATTTCTATAAAATGTTGGTTATTTTTTCGAATAATTGATATTTATACTTCCAATTCGTATTAATTAAGGCGTGATATAAACTTCCAGCAAGTTTATTTCTATAAAATGTTGGTTTTTTTTTTCGAATATTTTGGCTTTCATACTTCTAATTCATATTAATTAGAGCATGGTATAACTTTTAGCAAGTCATTTCTATAAAATGTTGGTTTTTTTTTTCGAATATTTGGCTTTCACACTTCTAATTTATATTAATTAGGGCATGGTATAAACTTCCGGCAAGTTCATTTCTATAAAATGTTGGTTATTTTTTTGAATATTTTGGCTTTCACACTTCCAATTCATATTAATTAAGGCATGGCACAAATTTCTGGTAAGTCATTTCTATAAATATTAGTTATTTTTTCGAATAATTGATATTTACACTTTCATTTAGTTTTAATTAGGGTGTATATAACTTCCGGCAAGTTCATTTCTATAAAATATTGGTTTTTTTTTCGAATATTTAGCTTTCACACTTCTAATTCATATTAATTAGGGCGTGGTATAACTTTCGGCAAGTTCATTTTTATAAAATATTGGTTTTTTTTTTCGAATATTTTGGCTTTCACACTTCCAATTCGTATTAATTAGGGTATGGCACAAATTTTCAGCAAGTCATTTCTATAAAATGTTAGTTATTTTTTTGAATAATTGATATTTACACTTCCAATTCGTATTAATTAAGGCGTGGTATAAACTTCTGGCAAGTTCATTTCTATAAAACATTGGTTTTTTTTTCGAATATTTTCCATTTTTTACGCGATAAACCAATTTTACCGTATTTACATTCTTGACGGTTTTTACAGATGTTACGAGATTAACAATTATTACCGGTTT